TTTTTTTCTATTTTATTAAATAAAGTTTCAACTATGGCATTTACAAAAAAAAAAAAAAAAAAAAAAAAAAAAAAAAACTTTCTATATTACTCTAACTTCTATAATCTAGGTACATATTTTAATAATACACACTCTACTTGGTTTAACAATATAAGCAGTAGTCGAATAGACTACATATAAACAGATCAATTTAATATACAATTTCTTTTATTATATAATCTTAATAACAGTAAAACAAGTATTTTAAGTAATTATTTAATTCTTTTATTATCTTGGATATTTTCTAATGCATATAGTAAAGTACTCTGACAACATATAGGTATTTTTCACAGAATATTCAACTATAAAGCTATAAACAAAGACATATAGACAGAATTTGCTAACCATCTAACTTCAATACTTAACAAATATCAAGTCCCTTTTGATATATATACTCAAGAAACTTTGAAAACTACTTGGTACAAAATTGAGCATTCCATCATTAATACTACTATTTATATTGTTTCTAATAAAATTAGTTGCAAATGCAGTTATAATCATCAATATACCCCACACTGCATCTTACTCTACCTTTCTTTTAAAAAACTTGAACATTTAATTAAATTAACTAAAAAAGCAAATAATGACAATTCTAAAACTGTAATTATAAATACTCTCATTAATGATATAAATAATAAAGTTAATTGCAACTTATAATCACTAAACTCATCAAATCCACTACATATTGAAAAATAGATTAAACATACTCAAGAGATTTAAAAACAACTATATCAAGTACATCATATAGAAAACTCAATCTTACTTTGACAACAAATTCAAGAAGCTACTGAAAAAAGATGTGAAACTTTAGTTTTATGCCTAACTCAAGCAATCAACAGTATTCTTAACTATTATTATACATTTATATATTTTTCTAACATTAAGCTACCAGACAAATTAATCACAAAACTATCTAAAATCAAAGAGCATATTCAAATATACTTTGAAAACTGGACAGTATATAAATCTATCAATAAAATATTATTTCAAAATATTTGATACCAACAATATACTTCATAAATTCATATTGATCCTGCTTAATATAACCCTTTTCTGAAGTAATTATTCAAGAAGAAGTCTTAAATACAATTGCTAAAATTCCAAATAGCAAAGCTTGTAGCCCAACTGTTATAAGCTATGAAATGCTTAAGCATATAGGTATAACAAGTGTTTAAGCACTTATTGCTTTGTTTAATCATTGTCTTATCTTTAGCCAAATACCTAAATAATAGAAATATAGAAAATCTTTTTTATCTCTAAACGTACTACTTTTGATGACAACTTAAACCTAATACAGCCTATCAGCCTCATAGAGCATATTTGCAAAGTATATACTAAAATTTTTATTAATAGGCTTAGTTTAGTCTTTTTTCAATACTTAGATATGAATACTATACTGTGTCAAACTTTCAGAATGAAAACAACAAAATAATATACCTTCCAGACCTAATTGAAGTTCAAAAACTTCTTATAGAACAACTAATCCTAATAGAATATATTGCAGAATACCATATACATACAGCTGCCCTTGTAGGCTACTTGACCAACAACATGATAATAACACATGTCCACCCTTTAGAAAAGCAATTAGAAAAATATCATTATGGACTATCATATAGATTAAATATAGTATACTAACTAATAATATTTTATATTATCAAATCTAGGTAAGTTTTAATCACTTTAGTAGATTTAGGTTGCAGATGAATCAGAATTTTTAGTTTAGATAGTTTCTGATAATCTAAATCTCATTCTTGTAAAATTTTTGTAACTTAGCTTTGGCTAGAGAAATCTATCGTGAATTCTCAATACAAAATATTATCGCTGTTTGCAAAAAGGTGTGACCCCCATGATTTTTGTAATGATGCGGGGGAAATTTTAAATAGAGAATCTAATTAGAGAATTTAATAGAGAATCTACGTAATAAATTGCAATCATACTTGAAATCAGTAACCCGATCAGAAATTCGTTAAATTATTTATTTTTTTCTGTTTTATCTTTTTTTTTTGTTTCACTTTGAAAATACTCTTGTTAGCATGCCTCCAGTATATAGTGATGATTTGAAATGGCGTATAATTTATCTACAATATGATGGCTATTCTAAATCACAAATCACCAAATTTCTATATATTAGTAAAGGTTTGGTGAAGAAAGTACTACGTCTATATAAAAAATGGGGAACCATAACTAATCCTTGGTGACAAATACCTGGAAGACATAAAATTTTCAATCGAAATAATATGAACGTAAAGATTATTTATTATTTTTATATCTAGTTGTAATTCTACTCTAAAATTTGCATTATACAAAATAGATATTACGAAATATTATTCGAGAAAAAGTGGACTGGTACCTCGATAAGATTGTTTTGCAAATGGAAATTCAGTGTGGAAAACATGTTTCAGTTTCTACCCTTTGGTGTTCATTAGCTTATTGTGGAATAACACGAAAGAAGGTATTTTATCTAAAATACTCCACATAAGTAAAGTATAAAATCTTATAATATTTTATTCTAGTTACATAAAGCAGCAAAAGAACGCAATGAATTACTTCGTAGTGCCTTTATGTTACGCATAGGTACTCAATATCAACATTAACAATTAGTCTTTCTAGATGAATCATCTAAGGATGAACGAACAATTTCTCGTGGATATGGTTATTCCGAAACAAATACAAGAGCTGTTAAAAAAACAGTATTTGTTCGTGGTGTACGTTATACACTTTTACCTGCACTTACTTTGGATGGTATTATTGCTGTAGATATTATGGAGGGTAGTTGTTCAAAAATAAGATTTAAGGAATTTGTAATTTCTCAAGTGGTACATACAATATATTTATTATTATATATTTTTTAATATTGAAAGTAATAAATTGGAATTTCTAATTCAGTAATTATTACTATATTGGTATTAGCTACCTCAAATGAATTCATATCCGCATGCAAGAAGTGTTTTAGTACTTGATAATGCAAGAATTCATCATGATGATAGATTGTTAGAATATTTAGATGCATTTGGTATACGTGTAGAATTTCTCCCTCCTTATTCACCTGATCTTAACCCTATAGAAACAGCCTTTTCATATATAAAACATTATTTAAAAAGATATCGTTATTTCGTAGAAAGCTGTTCAGACCCAGTATATCCTTTATTAGTTGCATGTTCGCAAATTACACCCTCACTTTCTAATAGGTTTTTTAATGGGGCAGGTTACAAATAAATGAATTGTTAAAAGATATTGAATTATAGCATATCTATAATCTGTAACAGGTTACGCTACTGCTACTGATATCAATTAACTGTCTGATTATACTTTATAATACTATAACTTATAATTTTGTTCAAAACTGCCTTCAATATTCTAATACATATATTCGTGCTAATATTATACACAATGCATTAATCTTATATTACATCCAATTTAGAATTTAATTAAATATTAGAAGTTTAAAGTTGCTTTTTCGATGTTGAATTAATTAAAAACAAATAACTATATAAAAAATAAAGACATCTAATCTTTAAAAATAAAATAGCAAATAGCACATAAATACTATAACTTAATAAAGACTTCTTTGATGCATATAAGATGGAAAAAAGAGAAATAAATAAATATAACTAAACCATTATATATTTCACTTTAACTCGTAAAGATTAGAATATTTACATGATTTAGCTTAAAGTTGCTATTGTAATAATTTATTTCAAATTACTAATATTCAGCACTAAGAGATACAGTCGAACAGGTAGTTTACATTAGCTATCACAGATTACAAATGTGCTGAATTATGTGGTAATGTATAAACTGTATTATACTTTGCAGCATAATGACGAAGAGTTTCTTGTGCACCAATTGTATCTACTCCACATTTTTCAAAGTTTTCATCTGATTATTTAGATAGTAATCGTACCGAAATTCTTTGTTGATCTAATTTCAATAAAAAATTCTGGTAATAATTTTCTGTGCCTTCACTTTCGTCTACCTGCTTTAAAAAATTACTAATTGTAGGTAAAGTCATTCCGACACTGGTAGCTGATTGAGAAGGTATTTGAATAGATGTTTGAAAAGGTGTTTCATAAATTTGAGAAGGAATGTATGGTGAAAACATTTGGAATTGATTATAAAATAGAGGTACTGCATATAGTTGTCCTGAACATTCTGGTTGTTGTATCAGATTAGATTGTAATGGTGATGTTAGCAATGATGATGCTTTTGTTTTTGAAGAATGTTGATATGCAAATAAAGGATGTGTAGGTGGCTCTGTTGGTGTTGCTATTGCCTTGCTCTATTTGAAAATAATAATCATAAAACGTTTTACTCATAGTATCTAATATAAATAATTTATATAAATTATACAGTATTTACTATTTCAGAGGCCCAAATCGAAAGCATCATGAATGTAATCTCAATGTGATTTTCTTTAGCTCCATCCTTATTTATGCAAGGCCGATTATGAATTTTACAATGATTTGCTTTACGAATCTCCAAGACATTGCTTGCCATTATTGATTCTTTAGATGATAAATTAAAAGTTTTAGGAATACGATTTTTATTTTTGAAAGCTATATTAAGATCATTGTCTGAGTTATCTTCAGATTCATAATGCTAAATATATGTATACAATATTTAGTAAAAGATCAATATATTATAAATTAATCTTAAATTATTTACTTACTACGTTTTTTCGTTTTAGATTTGACGAAATACTGATAAATGTTATAAGAAAAACCATGCTGACATTCTTTAAAGAATATTTATAATAATCTGTTTGAAATTTTTTAAAGTCTTGAGCATCTACTAATTGCGTACCTGCTCCTGTAGCCTTTTCTGGTTTAAATGCAATTCGATAATTACTTGCTTCGATTGACTTTGTTCTCGTCAATGTTTCAACATTGGTATGAATCTCAGAAAGTAATTCATCGACTGCAGATACTTTAACTGTATACCACTTTGCTGGAAGGGATGTTCCATTTTCTAACTTAATAAATACTCCATAATTATACTCATGTTCAACATCCTCATTATCAGACGAAATTCTTTCTTCATCAGACTTGAAAGTTACAGAATTAGCTATTTCAGGACTTTTAGGAATAGTAAGATCATAGGTTTCAATTTCTGAAGGAACATCATAATTTGTAATTGCAGAATATGGCTTTTCTTTAGGCTTTTTTGGCGTCAATTTCAATAAAATATTATTACACCAGGAGCACAAAGAAAAATTGAATGTTTCTTTTGAGCTTAGCAAATAATTATAAAGTGCTATTTTTTGTTGAATATACTCTACTTGTTCTGCTGTCCAGTTTGGGTTGAATATTCTAGTATATGCATATTTTACAGTATCGGTTCGATTTCCTCTATGTGGCACAATAGATATATTGCAATTACATTTATTTTTTTGTAAATCAATTCCACAAAACAAGCATTTTTGACAACTAAAGCAGGTTCCTCGGTAATAATTTATCTTTGTGTCTTGAATATTAGCCATTATATAGCGAGAGAATGAGAGAAATTAATAAGAAAATATACAAGTTTATTTATCGCAAAAAACAACTGTAAAATATACTCACATTGATTAAAAAATATGATCGCAAATATGTAATAATAATTTTTATACAATACTGATTTCAAGCATGATTGCAATTTATTACATAGATTCTCTATTAAATTCTCTTATTAGATTCTCTATTTAAAATTCCCCTGCATCATTACAAAAATCATGGGGGTCACACCTTTTTGCAAACAGCGATAATAAGAGATATAACAAAAATCAGGTAATTTTTTAGAGGGAAGGAGGATTAAAATTTTAAAATTATATATAAAGACTTGATCAAAATATATAATAAGAGAAGATAATACAAATTAAAATAAAAAAAATTGTATACATATTCTATACAAATCTGGTACTCGATATGTATGATATGTGTACAATATGTGTAGGATATGTATAATCTAGTATTTGATTTGTGTAAAGTTGATGTAGGATATTATACACATATCATATATATAGTATATATCATATACCTATTATACATCTATACTATATATATCAGGTACTAGATATGTATAGGATATGTAATGAAAATATATTTTACACATATTTGGTACTTGATATATATAGAAAATTATTAAACATAACCAACCAAATTTATATAAATAATAATCAAAATAGTTAAATATATATTAATTTTGATTATTATTTTAAAATAATAAAAATTAATATCAAAATTATTTTATAATTTAAAGTTAACACTAAATTTATATACAAAATTTTATAAAAAAAACTTTTGTTAAAGTACAAGAATCTATTTTATAAACAAAATTTTTAATTATTAGAAGTTTTTAAAAATAAAACTAAAAAAAATTTAAGAAAATTAAAAAAACTGCTCTGAAACAAGGTTTGGTACTAAGTAAACTAACAAAATCGATTAAGACAATTTTGTTCTCCAGACAAAGGCAGTTCTAAAGGTGGTGAGATCATTAAAAATGGTCTAGATCTCTTTCTATAGCTTCTTAAAGTTTTAAAATGATTATTTGCATAAATTACATAATTTAGACAATTGTTGTAAAACTTTGAGAGGCTATAAAAAGAGATTTACTAGTCCATTTTTAATAATCTCACCATCTTTAGCCAGTTTATCTAGTACCAAACCTTGTTCTGAAGCACTGTATTATTTAACTTTAAAAATATAAAAATAAATAAAAAACTGCTTTGGAACTATGTTTCATACTAATTAAACTAGTAAAATCAATTAAGACAACTTTGTTCTCCAAACCAAGTTGGTTTTAAAAGTGGTAAGATCATTAAAAATAGTTTAATATATCTTTTTCTATAGCTTCTCTAAGTTTTAAAATGATTATATAAATCATATGATTTAATCAATCATTTTAAAACTTTAAGAAGCTATAAAAAAAGATCTACTAGGCTGTTTTTAATGATCTTACCACCTTTAGAACCATCTTGGTTTGAAGAACAAAGTTGTCTTAATTGACCTTGCTAGTTTACTTAATACCAAACATAGTTTCAGAGTGTTTTTATTTATTATATAAATAATTTATAAATGTAAGATATATATATAATATATATATGATATATGTATATGATATGTGTCAGATATATGTAAGATATCCTGCATCAACTCTATACATATCAGGTACCTGATAAATACATAATATATATATAATAGGTGTTAGATATATGACAAATTTTTATTGATATCTGTCAGGTACTCATTTGTTACCTATCTGGTATCTGATATTTATAATCAGACACATATCCTACACATATCTTATACATATCCTAAACATATCCTACATATATTTGCGTATCAAATATATGTAGAATATGTATAAGATATTTTAATTTTGACTTATATAAGCTTTTGATAAAAAAAAATTAGGTGATAAATGACACTTCTTTAAAAATAAAGGCAAAACTTTATCTTAAAAAAAAAAAAATTTGTTTAGTACTAAAAAATACATTAAACAGATAAAGTTTTTTATTTTCTTAAAAGTTTGAAAAAAGATGTTCAAATTTGATATTTTGATCAAAAAAATCAAAATTAATCATCTTTTCTCAAACTTTTAAGTAAAATAAAAACAACTTTAGCAGTTTAATGTATTTTTTAATGCTGAATAAATTTTATTAATATATTAAGTTAGAATTAATTAATAAAATTTTGTGAATTTTAAGAGTTTGTAAAATTTTATTAATAAAATTCTATAAAATCTTAAATTTTATTAATTGATTCTTATATTATGCATTAAATAATATTGTTCAACACAAAAAAATTATATAATTACAATTAGATTCAATCTATTTTTTAAACTTTGGACTGAACCTAGCCTGAATCTAGACCAAACTTATATCTTAATAGTTTTTCTTTGAATCAAGCCTTTATAGTCTCTAGTAGACTTCTTAAGATATTGGGCATCCAAACTAGAAGGGTTATTTTAAGAACTGGTCTTAATTTTATATAGATTGTTATCGATAAAATTTAAGAAATATGATATATTAAAAAACAGTAGTTATCTATTAGAATCTCAATATTTAAAATCCTAACATTCAAAATTCTAATATTATCAAAATTTTAATACTATCATAACTTTTATCTACTAGTTTGTTTTAGATAAAACAATTATCAAAATATTCATTACATTAAAATAAATATTTTGATAATTGTTTCATTTAAAATAAATTACTAAATAAAAAATTATAATAGTGTTGAGATTTTGATAATATTAGGATTTTAAGTATTAGAATTTTAAATATTAGAATTCTGATAGATAACTAAAAGCAAGTGTAACTTGAATAATTTTTTTTGAGATCAAGTTTCTTTTTATTCAACAGACTTCTTAAGTTATTCAGCATTTAAACTAGAAGGTTATTTTAAAAATAAGTAGTAGTTAAAAACTCTTGCTAAAATAGTTAAAGCTTGAAGAATTGTCTATATAACTATAAAATTTACAAGATGAGCTATATATACTTCTGTTAGCCTACCACTTTTTTCAAAGAAATTTTGTTAAAAAGTGAATACCTTAGCTTACTTCTTTCAAAAATTAATATATATATACTTTATCAAAACAGTTGGTATTGTTTATCTATTTATATAATATTTATTATATATTATTTACTTTTAGTAAATAGATAAACTGCAATTAGTTATCTGAAGTAATGAGTTAAGTTATAGGCAGAAACAGATAACTAGAATAATACTTGGTAATATAACTTGACTTTTACAAACTATTTAATAATACTTTAAAATATTTATAAACTACTCTATCTAGATTTTCTAGTTTATTTTAGAATTATTTTTTACTATTATTTAAAGATAAGGTGTCCATAGATCATTTTTAATAGTAATCATGTAGTATTCATATGAAATCATGTAATTGACCAATCATAATCGTAAAAACAACAAATTTGACCAATTAAAATCGGTAATTTTTGTGCAACTTAAGTAAATTTGGGGCCATCTAAGTATTTTTATCAATATACGAAATAGATTTTTTTTAAAAGATACAGTGTTTATAATTTTACTGTTATAAATTAGAAACCCCAAATTATATATTGGAAAAA